CGCAGCTTTTGTGTCACTGTGTGAAACAAATCGCTGCATCTTGTATGCAAGTGAATTTCAGGCACTGGCTTGCTCATGGGCTGTGTGCATGTTATGCATGCTTCAAGTGCGTCAGCTTCAGATGTCTCCATTGGACATCTGTCGGTCACATGGTACTTGTTTCTCTCCTTTGACTGGATGAGCATAATGCTTAGAATCAGGCCTCTGGCTGAGTATGAAATTGGCTGTGCTTTCTTGCCTCTAGTCCCTTTAAGATTTGCTGTTACCTTGCCAGGAAATTAGCTGGCCAGGTTATCTGCAGAAAACAAATGCAAAATGGGCACAAGCAGAACTGAAACCAGCTTGTCTGAACATTCACATTAGTGCTGGTGAATAATCTGCTGCAGGATTTGCCAAGCTGGACAAGACTAAATGTCAACGAATTGGGGATCTGGCCTTCTCTGTCAGACATGGCATTGTTTCATCTAGTCATCACCTCTGCAGAGGAACGCAGGTATTCAACTAGGGCCAGCAGCAGCACATGACTGTTTTGGGCAAGGTGAGAAGGGGATTTTACCTGGGAAATTCAAGTCAACCAAATCAAATTACCTAAACTACAGTCTCTCTGGATGGGGTTGATGTTCTAGGGCAGGGCTGTCCAGCTTCTGAGTGGCTGGGAGCCACAGGCTATTCAGCCACATGCTCCAGGGGCCACATGCCATGCTATGACATCTGGGCCAGCCTGCACTGCGTGGTGGGTGCCCTCCTGCTGCACTGCACCGGTCCCCTCGCACTGCGCCACATGGGACCACACTGTGCAATGGCCGACCCCCACTGCATCATGCTGGTGTCCTTGCTCAGTGTGGGATCCCCGCGTACTCCCGAGCCTGCCGGCTGTGGGCTCCCTCAGCCCTGTGGGCCATGCCATTCTGCCCCGTCCCCAGAGACGGGGGAGCCTGAGAGGCCACAGGTTAACCCTTGGGAGGCTGTATGCAGCTCCTGGGCCACCAGGTGGACAGCCCTGCCCTAGGAGCAAAGTGATATGAGCTCCAAAGGGCTTTGCTGCTAAGCCATGTTTGAAAACAGTACCTCCTTGGTGTCCTACACTCCTGCCATTGGCTTGGAGCCCTAATGCTGTGCTGATTACCACCACTGACTGATCTTCTATCCCAGTTGCCCCTGAGGTCACTGTGGTCACCCAAAGCTACATGTCACACCAGAAAAAATGAAGAAACAACATAAGACTTGGACAGAAGACTCCACAGCATGGAACACAAAGGCCATGGGACCTATTCTGTTCTGAGAACAAACCCAATGACACTGATGGGAGGAGTATGCACCCATGGGATGGAGTTCGCTCCCCTCTCTGGTGATGTGCTTGGAACTGACCTGCTCATTGGTAACTGACTCCACTCACAAGCAGACAGTCATTTTGCATGTACCACTTCATTGTCTCTAACCTGGGCAAGGGGTAAGTAAAAGCTCAGACTCATGCCTGCAAATTGCACTGATGCATAGCAGAGACTAATCTTTTAAGGCACACAGAGTAGATCAGGCATAACTTTCACTTGCTCTGGAGCCAACTTGGAAGTCTCAGGTCACAGTTTTGAAAGATTTTTGTCTTCAGGGATAACTATGGAAAATATTAACCAGTGCTTCCTTTGCGTGTGTCCACAGACCCTCTGCTCTGCTGACTGAATGGTAGATGGGTAGGAGAAACAGGTTTCCAGAGCCAAACAGCAGGACATTTGTGTGCCCCACTGGACCATGAGACAGGTACAAAGCACCCTGGCCAGCTGAAAAGCATGAATGTAGTGGTGAGCATGGAGTCAGCAGCATATGTGTTAGCAGTCACTGAAGCCTCTGATGATATGTCTCTGGGCAGTGGCCATTAGCCACAGCAGCTCGTGCTGTCTCATATCCTGCCTTAGAAAGATGCTAGGATAATAGGAACAGTGACTTTTCTTGCTGCCTCCCTTGTAATTTTTTTCTAACCTGCACAGAAGCCTGAGTTCACCATACAAAAGCCACTGGGGAAAGCAGACCAGCTATAGATATGGACAGTATAGACTGCATTGGATGGCTGAGACCATGGCCTTCCAATAAATCTGGGGTCTTAAAAGTTCCCAGTGTTGTTACTTCCTAGTCTCCTACTCAGCTCTCCCAATACACCTTGCATCTGAGCTGCAGCAGCTTGGATATTCCACTCCTGGGGTCCCCATAACAAGTCTGCTCCCATCATAGTGACAGCTGCGTATCCCCCATCTCCTCATAGTCCAAGTCCAGGAACCATAGTCAGCTCTCTCCATGCATCTTGTCCCTGACCTGTAGCTCCATTTTCTACTCCACTGCTCCTCTCCACCTCCCTTGCTGTTGACCCATTCCCTGCTCAGAGCCTGCTAACAACACCAAACTGTACGGTGCTCTAGCAATGTACCCACTGGGGACTACAATTTCAAAGCTCTTGTTGATGTGCCCTAATCAGATTTAGCTGTTCAAGTCTCCACAGCTGACAGTCATGCCACAGTCCTCCTCTCCACCACTGAGCCCTTCTTTGGGAATTAGTTTTCCAGTTCAACAATGTAATTACTTTCCTGTTACTTTTTCCCATTTACACAAAGCAAGGGCAAAAGTCAGGTGTCTTCTGCCATGTTTGATTAGATGCCACCTGGGAAAGACATTGTATGACAAAAATCTAGCGGGACTTGTTTTCTGCAGTACATTCAATTGTTGCTTCACGTACAAACCAGCCAGGCCAGACGTTATGAGCCCTTGGGCATTAGAAGCTCTTCTCCAGGCAGAAACACAGGAAAAGCTAAGATGAATCAACTGAAGTTGTAAAGGAGGATTAAGCCACAGAAAACAAAAGCCAATGTACTTCTGAATGAAAGCATGCCACGGGAGGGCTAGATGTGCTTCAACAGATATGTGGTAGCATCATGTCTTTGACAATTCGTCTTCTTTCCTGAGTGTCTGACTGCAGCATCTTGTAAGAGCCCCAAATGAATGGGCTTCAGACTCCTGTTTTCTTCTACATGCCAGGCTCCCAACCTGGACTTCATCTCCCATCATTCAGCACCTGCCCTAGCCAAGGGTGGAAACTGTGAGAGAAGCAGTTGGACCGTGAGGCCTGAAATACAGCTCCCATCAGCCACTCTCAGTTGTGCCAGCATTTTAGGTTTTCTTCAGCTAAAATATTTCAGATTTTGATTTTTCACTAAAAATTTGAAATTTCCTGTGGAAATCTGCCTCCTATTCCCCTCCCACCACTTTCCAACCAGTCTTACCCGAGGGTCAAACTGCCCTTTCTCCTGTAGGGAAGAGGGAGTCCAGTATGTGCATGGCCAGTCTATAAACAGGGATACAAATGCTCCCCAGAGGCTTGTAACAAGATGGTAGCCATAACTCCCCCTGGTTATTACTGCCTATGCTCATGATAGTCATCAGGGACAGGCTAGGCAATAACTGGAGTCTGCATTTCAGATGCTCAAACAAACAGGCTAAGGCCATAAGCTCAAAAATCATTCAAGAACACGCTGTCTTGCTAGATTTTCCCCATTGCTTCCTGTTTCAACTGACAGGGGTATAGAGGTGTCTTCTGTCTCCTTGTTCTGAACAGAGCCAGGGAAACCCAAAGTGCCTGAAAATAAATTAAGGGGAAAAAAGAAAACGTGGACAGAGCCTTTCAAAACCTGTGAGGAGGCTAGGGGGCTGTTTTCTATTTTCATTTAGGATGGAAGGTTGCTGGACAGGAATATTCTAGTTTCTATACTAGTGAGGGGTTCCTCTGGCCTGTGTGAGTTTTAGGGAAGAGTCAGGTGAAATCTTAATTTATCCAGTGTGATTCAAATATCCTTACATTGGGCTTGCCTTTTGCTAAACCCAGTGCCCTTAGCAGATGTCTCTGGCTGGAAGGACCTGGGGGAGGGTGGGGCACCATTTGGGGAGGGGAAGGTCAGGCACACTTTCAAATGAAGGAAGATCCAAACCAAACCCTTGGATCCAAATGCCGCCCCATTCTTTCTCTCACTTGAGTTCTGAACCACATGCTGCAGCTTCAGCCCATCTCCACTTGAAAGTGGCCTCAGCTGTAAGTGAGAGGGGGTGGGGAGGATGGGTGACAGAGCGGTGAGAATGGGTGGCTGGTATGTTCCCCATGGGGCCAAGTGCAAACCTAGTGCTTGTAACCTAGTGCTTGTCCTCTGGAAAAGAAGCAACCCTGGGCAAATAGTGAGCTTCTAGTCCTCTCTGTGGCAGGATCCCGTCAGCTTGTGTGTAAGTGCATCACTGCCCTTAGCTAGATCCTGCAGGTCTTGTTCCAGTAGGACAGATGTCCCATGCGTTCCTAGACAGCATGTCTCGGTTGCGTTGTGGCCTGCAGGCAGGCAGGCTGGCTGGTGGTTGTGCCCTCTGCCCACGCAGGCAGGCATTGTTAGAGCAGCACCCGATCAGGGACTCTGCAAGTCTTTGGGGCTGCATGTGACGCCTTCGAAGCACTGTGTGGCCAGCCGCATCAGCAATGCTCTCTAGCATGTGTAAATCTCCATGTATATTGAAAAGGGGGGAATGTGTCAATCTCTGTTTTACAGATGAGGCAACTGAGGTCCAGAAAAGGGAAGCAGCTTGCTCAGCAGAGTCGGGAACAGAGCCCAAGTCTCCTGAGTCACCGCCTGATGCCCTTAGTCCCTGGACAACACTGCTTTCTGCTGAGTTAAACCCAAGACTACCAGGTCGAAACAAATATGCTTCCTTCCGCAGAGCTGAAAGAGCAGCTCTGTGAACCACGGGGTGGGGAATCTGGGGAAGGCTGAGCAGGTCCAATGCTTTCCATCAGGTGGCAGCGCTGTACAGAGCAACAGAAGCCAACCCCATCGAGATGCGAGCGAAACGGCAGGAGATGCCGTACTGTCCCCTGGCTTCCTGGCAGCAAGCACAGATGATCTGGTGAAAACACCGAACTCTTCCCCCACACGCTCCCCCTTGTACCACAGTCGGGGCAGTCTGGCCTGCCAGCCTCTTACCTGTTTGCAGGGCCAGGGTGAGCAGGGGTCAGTAGGGTCTGTTAGCATCTTTTGGCCGCTTTAGTTGGACCTTTAGCCTCTTCATGCCGATCTGGAAGCCGTTCATGGCCTGAATGGCTGCCTGAGCACTAGTTGGATTGTCAAAACTGACGAAACCTGGGGGTGGGGGAGGGGGTGAAAGGGGTGGGAACGGAGAAGGAAGGACACAGGTCATCACCAAAAGCACCAGAGACCCTGTCCTCTCATCACACTCTCACTCCAGGCATCCAAAACTAACTGCCAGAAAAGCACAAAGGGGACTGCCCTAAAGGCTCTGGTGCAGAGGACAGAGAGGGGAGGCTGGGGAAATGGTGACTGCGGCCCTGGGGCACTCAAGGCCTGGTTACCAGGTGCCCCCAAAATCCTGAAGTTACATTAAAAAAAAAAAAAAGCAGACGCACTGTCTGGTTGCTGATCGTTGAGCCCTGGTGGGTGTGAGCAGCCTGCAGCCAGGCCACGTGCGAGTGCCAAAGGGCCGAAATCCAACCTTACGTGCACGTGAAGTCTCTTTACTGGCTTCTCCTTGCTGGGAACTCTGCTCCCCTCCCTGCCCCTGGAAAGGAAGCCATTTTGTTTCCTTCCACCTCTCTTTCTTATCACCATGCTTCCTGCCCTCCTTATATGTCCCCTCCGCACTCTCCTGACCCCGATATTTTTCCTTAATCCTCACATTTTGTCTCTGCCTCCTAGACCTCGACTCTCTCATAGCATCCCTCCTGCTTTCTTCAGTGTCCTTATTGCACCCCACACCCCCTCAGTGTCCTGTATTCCTCTGCACCATCTGAGCTTCCCCATCTCTCCTCTATCCCCTTACAGGTTCCTAACAGTAAAGTGCAAGAGGCAGGTATTTCTACTACAGATAGCCAGTGGAAATGTCAACCAATGGACAATGTCAACCACCTTTACGAGGGGCAATCTCCCTTCTACGTGGAAGCTATGGAGAAATGGCAGCTGTCTTCAGTGAGGGAAACCTGTAGCTTCAGTCCCGTTTAATGTAATGTTACATGTTTGAGAAAGGGCAAATGTTTGAGAGTGGTCTGCCAGCAACCAGGACACCCTGAGAAGCCACATTTGTCCCAATTTTCAAAACATGGGCACCAACTGTTTATACCTACAGTGTCCTGCTTCCATTATAGAATAACTCCCACCCCTGGATAATGGACTGGCAGAAGGGGCTTAACACACACCACTTTAAACCCAAAGCTAAAGGCTTTCCCTTGCCCTGTCCTTGTTACAGCACTGAGAGATGGAGGCCTTGAGCCAAGCTCAGTTTTAAAGCCAAGAGTTTATGCTTCTCTGACAAAGGATGGCTGGGCTTGGGAGCCAGTCAGAAAATCATGCTGCTGCCCTGTCAAACCTTTGCCTCTGTGCTGGAACAGAACTGGGAGACCTGAACTTTGGAGCATCCTCCTGCTTCTCTTTTCCTTTGGTTGTTGCCGCTGTATCTCCAGCTCCTCAGACCAGAACACAAACGCCATCATGCTGTGAAAGAGGCTGCATGGCTCTACTCAAAGCAGAAAACAGCCCAGGAAATACAGCCCATTTCCCCATGATTACAAGCCCCAGTATCACAAGGGCAATGGATACTTTAGTGATGGCTCCCCTGAAGTTTTGAGGGCTTGGCTCAACCAAACCTTTGAATGAGAGGTGGGCCCACAGCTGAAACCCCAGATACAGAAGCTACAAATCATGAGATTTGGAGCCGGAACTAGGCTACAAATTTAACAAATGGCTCTGACCTTTATGGAGGTCTCAGCCAAAACCCTGGACATGGAAACTTGAGCTTTCAAGCGACATGAGGTCTGGGAGCTGGTTCTCTGCCTTGAATCATTTGTTAGCATTTATCTTAGGAGAAACACAGATTGTGCAACATTTGTGCAATGTTTTTCTATCACATTGCATAGAGGTAGAGATGACACAGGGCACAAGGCAGTGAAGAACCAGGGCCCTGGAAGTGACTTTTGTCCTTATCTCTGTCCTTTATAAACACAGCTTTGATATTCCCATACCCACCTTCTCTGGCTTCACCCCTGATATCAACCCTGAGCATCCATATTAAAGAAACCCCGCCTTTGTCCACAACTGCTCTCCAGGACAGCCAAGAACTGCTCCAACACGCAAAGCATCCCCACCATCCCTCACCTGGCTGGTCAATGATCTCAGCTCAGCCCTGGAATTGCAGACAACAGTGCACAGTGCTCAGCACTTCATGGAGATGCAGTCCAAGATCCAAGTGGCTGCCTCAGCAGCACTGCATATTTGAATGGCCTCTGCCTGTCACCTTATGCCATATTTTTTCCCCTCTCTTGGCTAACATCTGCTGCAATAAAAATGTAAAGTGCAGCAATAACTTGCAGACTTACATCAAGCCTGGCAGCTCCATTTGTCCCAGCCCCTTCTGGGAACTGACAGCAGGGCCCAGCAGGGGGCCATTTTAATTGAACGTACCATTTTCACATCTTTGAAAGGGAGCGTGTTGGGGGAATGGATCCTTTCCTCTCGATGGGTTGCAGGTGGCCACTCTGTAATTATTTCCTCATTTCCTTTTAGCATCGGAAAGAGGCTCCATGGAGCTGCAGCGGCCATTAATGGAGTAGAGCTAGGGGGACTTCAGGAAGAGCAGCAGTGACTGCAATGTGATGAGAATCACAGTGCAGCATAGCCAGTCTCATCACTGCCAGTAATTACTTTGGCACAATCTTCCAGATAAAGATCCCAAAGCACTGCAGAGGCACTAACAAATGCTGTTTATGCATCCTACCTCTATTATCTGCAGCTTTGGCAAATAGCATCCAAAGAGGGGACATGGCACATCCAAGACCACGCAGTGAAAAAGCGGCAGAGACAGGACCAGAACTCACATCTTATTGCAGTCCTGTGTTTTGACCATCAGGCTGTGTGCTGACCTCAAGGAGTGCACCAGTAGGAGCCCCATTACTTTGGGGCAACTCTTTTCAGAGACAACAGTGAATACAGTGTGAATACAAGTAATATGGGAGCAGCTCAGAAGGATGACACCCACACTGAGTTGCATGGGGCAGCCACCGGTTCTTCTTTTGATCTGGCAGGGCATTATTGGTGTCTTGCATTTGTTCTGGGGCTGACACAGCATCCTCATGGTGTGATGCTTGTCAGGCCATGTACTGATGTGTGTATGACAATGCACCATGGAAAATCATGCTTGCACAGTGATATGGTGACTCTTGCATGGTAGGATGATCCCATGTGATCCTCTGAATGTGCAACTTTAGCAGGAAAGAGTGTGGATAGATTAGCAAGAAAGAAAGAAAGCCAGGGAAGGAGGGGGTAACTCAACATCTAAAGGGTGATACCCTATGTACAACCACAGCAGAAACAGGCTCCTTTGGATCTTCCAGGGGGAAAAAGAGATAGCAAGATATTGCCATAGCAGCAGAATATAACACTAATGACTACCAGTGCACAAAGAAATACTGTATGGGCCTAACATAGGGGTGACAAGAATTAGAGGTTAGGTCACCAGCACCAGAACCTGTCACCTCTAGAGTATGGGTTCAAGTCTAGCACAGGTCACTGGCAGCTAGAATGTGTCACCATCTGCCCAGGGAACGTTGCAAGATTCAGCATTACTACAGGCTTGAATCAGCAGGTTCAGCAGAGACCTGACTAGACCTCCAGCACAATCCACCTTCTTGCCCTTTGAGGTAGTCACCCCAGGGAAGAGCTGGGACATTTTGCCAAGACAAAAAAAAGGTAGCAGTGTTTGTGTATGCTTAACCTGCCTCTGACCATGTCCTACTTGCCTTGCAGATCCCTAAGGCAATTTAGCTTCTAAGTCTATTAGCTTTGCAAGGTCCATAAACACCACTACCACAAAGGAAACCTCCAAGATGGTCCTAACTCCAAGCCCAAAAGACCATACGAGTATAAAGAGCCCTCCATACTTCGACAATTAAATGAAAAAAACGGAGGAAAAGAGGACATTCTATCTACACAGTCCTTAAATACCAGCATACAATAGACTAAAGCTACTATATAAGAGAAGCATGTGCTCCTCTAGGAATTTCACCTGTACAGCCAAATCACAAACAGCAAATGCGAAAATATCTAGCATTACAAGAGGGTAGTATGGAAAATAAAAATTACTTACCTGCAATTCTGCTTCTCTGAAGATATGATTCGCATGGCAGGATCTCAACTCCTCAGCGTCAGACTGGCATTGCTCCCCAAGGTCTGAAAAGTTATTTTAGCCCTGACATGCTATGGTAGCAGTGCTGTTATTGGCTGTCATATGCCACCCTGCTGAGCTTCATGGCCATCTTTTGAATGAACTGGTCAGTTCTGATTGTGCAGGAGGCAAAGTTCCCAAAGGGATGTCAGTCACTAAAATGATCCAAAGCTTGCCTCATAGGGGAAAAAAATTAAGGGAGGAAATGGACATGATTTGGTAAAGGTATGAGGTAGAGGGATAGTTCTTTCTGAATCATATGAGCAAAGAAGCAGAATTACAGGGCTGTCATTACTCCTTTTCTGAAGATACTGTCCACTGGGATTCTCACTGCTGGAGGAGAAGAAACTCAAAAGATGCCCCAAAAGAAAAAAAGAGGGAACTTGGCTTCAACAGGCAGCAACTACAAAGTCAAAACCAATGGAGACAGTTCTTATAAAACTCTGTCTAGTTATGTATCTGGGGTCGGGCACAGCATAGGGTGGGAAGCAGCAAAACAAAGTTCCCCGACAACATGATCCTACCAGCCTGCTCCAGCCTTGCCCCAGAGGGACTTCCGTACCACTGTGGTGGTGGGTGCCAATCTACTGGCCCACCTTGATTGCTAGGCCCCTCTCTTGAGGGGAAAATTAGCAGTTCATTCACTCCATGGTGTTTCTGCTGAAATGAATAGGATGGTGTCAGTCA